AGTGACTTTCACAGGAGAAACTGAATGTCTGTATGAGGTCTAAATGGATCCCAACATTCTGTCAGTTACAGTACATTTATAACTTGCAATTAAAGAGTTCTCTAAAATGTACTGTACAGAGCACTAATCCAAATAACAAATGTTCACTATATTTTACAAGTTATAGCCTAAAAGAAATAGGCTGTGCTAAAGGAACATAGAAAGTATTAAAATTAGCATTAGATTCTGTATAAACATTGGGATGTTTCATGGTCAAGGGTATACTTAAGTACTTCTTTCTCATGGTATTTGAGGCATGTTGGGTGGGTATTAGTTCCTGCTGGTGCAAAGACTTCTTTGCATTTCTGTACTGATGGTTCATGAGAGCTCTTTCACCGTTCAGGTAGAGGCAAAATGCCACTTTAAATTTACCAAATGAAAATGTAGATACTTAAGTCATTGTGCCACCTCCTTTATTTTGGTCAAGTAGCATATGTTTTTATTTCCTAATTACAATGCTGAATACAGTTATTCATTTCATGTTCTTAGAGAATCCTTTTTGTATTAAAACATTGCCACATCTTTCTGTTCATGAACTGGTTCCCTAGAATGAGGTCTTTCATTAAGCAGATTCAGAATAAAGTTGCTGGACAGAACATTCTTCAAACTATGATATTGTATGTAACATTTTCTTGTTTTTAACATACTGCATATTTTCATGGTAATGACCCCCAACACCAGTAGCAGAATATGTCCTGCAAATATTCTGGTAATTGAAAAACACTGCATTGTACATCAATGGTAGAATATTTCTCTTACCATTTCCCATTATTTTTGTATCCCTCAGGCAACTACCCAAAATGCTCTAAGTAATGTTTTTATTTAAGAATGTTTTTGGTAAGTCCTGCCTGTCTGAGAAGACGGCTTACTATCATGCAGATAAGTGAATTTTATAAAAAATATTTACATGACATATTCAGTCTTGGCAAATGCATTTATAATAACTCTCTGTTAACTAAAACAATGGGGGAATATTTTTTTCTACAAACAGTAGAAAACAAATAAGAGAACTTAGTGCCTGAGAACCCTCAAGAAGAGAAATTAATTACTCTGAACAGATAGTTAAGAAATATCTTAATGAAGTAGCAAGTTTCCTAAGTGCATGTTGAGCTCAATGCATCCAGAAGGCACAGTGTCATTCAATAGTATATCTTTTTTCACCTGTGTTTTTTTGTTTGGGAAATGTTGTCTTTACTTAAGAACTGTCATTTAATGGGTCAGACCATACATCCGTCTTGCCCAGCATCCTGTGTCACACTGGCAGAGAATGGATGCTGAAAGGGAGAGTAAACCTGTTATGACGAGGTTTTTTTTTTTCCACTGTTCCTCTCCCACTTGCAGCCTTCAGCATTTAGGGCATTTTTACACGTGAAAAGCACCCAATACTGTAACGCATGCAGTTATATAAGCGGCAAAATGTGCATCAGCACACAGAAAATGGTGGCCATATGCTTTTGAACTGAAACACATCGAAGATGTTTTAGTTCAAAAGTGCACCCCACTGCTTTCTCCATGCTGATGTGTATTTTGCCACTTACACAACTGCAAGTGATGCAGTGTGGTTCTTATCACCTCGCAAGCAGAGCAAACTTGATTAGTCAAGTCTGGTCCAATGGGCTGGATCTCTGGCACATTGCAGCATGAAAAAGTATGTGTATAGGTACCCATAAGGTTTAAGAAGGTCTAATTCAGAGGCTCTATCCTTAACTCCCATGCTCAATAGCTGCTGATGCCCGTTTCCTCCAAGAATCTGTCCAATCCATTTTTTTACAGCTCTGATGCACTGGAAAGTGCATTTGAGTAGGTTGTAGTGATTTGGGTTCCAGTGTGCAGAATGAAGATACTCAGGCCTACAAATAAAGACTTGCTTAAACATGAGGTTGTATCATTAAAATCTTTGTGATTGTATGCTTAAAATAATGAAGGTGTTAGCTTGGAACTTGGGAGACTCATCTTGTGTGTCAGGTTCCTGAGCAAGTCACTTCTCTGTGGGATCTGTGGAGGGAAGTGTTCTTGTTTCTGGTTCCATCAGACTACTTGTAATCTTGAACCCCATTGACACCAAAACAGTGTTGGTATCATGGACAGTGAATGAATGTGTTTAAGCATATACTACAAGGTGGAGGGCTTTCATGAAGAAATTACATGCTGCTATATTCTCTGCTGCTATATTTTAAAAAATCAGATATATAAAGGATATATAAAGGAGGGAAAATAAGAAATCCTTACCACATTTATAATCTTCTGTTGCTCTGATGTCTTATTGCCCTGGGAACAGAACTGGGGACAAATATTGTGTGGAAAACATATATTTATGTTATATCTAATTTATCATCATGATTAAAAATACCAAATTATAGAAAAAAATTAAGTATGCTAACATTTTTTTCTGAAATCACTGATTACAGGTTACATGTAGTAAGCTTAAAACAGCTGGTTCTGCTAGTTACCTTATTTCCTTATGCTTACAGTACAAAAGACAGCAGAAGTAATTAATTTCTGAATCGGGTTGCTATGAAAAAAGCATTCTCTGATTTACTACCTCCATTGGCTAAATATTTCTATTTTAGATTTATGTTGATTTAATTTACTGCAGCTCACTCATGATCTTAAATCATTTATACCATACATGAACTTATTATCCACAGAAAGAACTGCACTAGACTTTTTCAGTGTTTTTTGTAAGAAAATCTGAATTCAGAACACAGAAAATTTCAATAATAACTTTGGTTTGGAAGGCTTTTTGGGTCCAGAAAAGAGGTAAGAGAAACAGATGAGTTCCCCAACTTCTAGGTTGCTCTTTGTTGTGGACTTCTGCATCTGAGTGCTCTAGCCATTTGTTTATACAGTCAGTCTTAATTTCTGGCCTAGCGAGCATTTACATGTTTATATGAGTGGCAGTAGTTTCAAAAGAATGATTGAGAAATAGTTTTGCTAAGTTTGATGAGGTTTGAGTACTCTGATGGGAGATAGGAGACCTGGGTTTGATCCCTTTTATGTCTGATACAGATAAGCTAGGGTGAGTTTTTGAGTGTATTTGAGTGTCTCTAGCTTTTCATAAAACAACTGAAAGACCTCTCATAGTACTGCAGAATGAAGAAAATGTTTTTAATCATTATATTTTTGCAGCTCAGGGAAACTGTTTCCTGATCATCATTATTCATAGACTTCAGTGGGACACTGCTTATGTGATGAATCTCAAGTCTCATGATTGTTTGCAGGATCGTGGTCTAAGTCTGGCAACATTTTTGGGCACACTGCCAAAACACCTGCAACTTTCACTTGTAAGATGTTGGCATGCTAAGAGCAGACAGCAAGGGAACCGTGAGGGACCTGATCTTTGTTGTGGCAGTACAGCCCCGTTCCCTTTCCCACCATCCACCTGAAGGCGCACATGCACCACTGCTGGCAACAAGCCAGGCCAGGACTCCATGGACCCTGGTGCAGCCACTTGTAGCCTCCCAGATGCCTACCACAGCCACCCACTATTGAACCTAGGCTGCTTGCAGTAGGTGGTAGGGAGCCTGCAAGCAGCTGCACTGGAGTCCAAGGAGCCCTGGCCCAGCTTATTGTGAGCGTTGGGTACACATGCACCTTGGGGTGGATGATGGGGCAGCTGCGAGAAGCTTGATCCTTGTTGTGGCAACACAGCCCCAGCCCCTTCCCTGCCATCCATCCCAAGGCACTTATGACAAGCAAATGCCTTCACATGCCATGTTCTGGCACATGTGTGGTTGCTGGGGTTGCTGACCCCTGGTGTAAATTAAAACATACATGAGATTAACCAGTGGGTCCCTCCAAAAGGGGTTGGGAGTGGGGGATAATCTGAAAAGTTAATAAACAATTAATTAATTAGAAAATGGTTTTAAGACATGTTGTCTAGATCCTGATTGCATAAAGTGAAGGAATGCTTTTATACGACTGATGGGGAAAAAACTGCTATGCGTTCTTAAGTTAAAAAATGGGGAATCTGTCTGTTTGTATCAGAGATGCTGGGAGCATCTACATGCATGCCTGACTGCACAGTTGTTACTGTGCCATCATTTGGTACTTGCTTTAGCTGTTACTGGGCAGTCCCAGCAACGAACGGATTGTTTCTGACCCTACTATACAGTAGCTTTGGCACCACGGTTCATGCCCACCAATGCTACATGGCCGTAGCAATAAGCTACAGTGACGTTGCATCTTGTGTTGCTGCACCTACTCTTTGGTACTTAACTCCTGAATTTGGTGTGCCTGACCTCACAGCTGTATCAAGTCTAGGGAGTTTTGGGAAAAAATGTTATATAACAACAGTGTTTCCTTCTCCTCTATTCACATTTGATGCAGATAAAGATTTTCTCAGTTGCTCAGACAAGGAAATTCTTACGTTCTCTTTTAGGAATGGATAGATTATTCAAGTGACTATTTAGATACTGAAGGAAGTTTTCATTACTTGCTTCTAGATCATCTTGTGTGCTCACATGATCATAAAATGTAGCTTAATAATTTCAGAACGTTACTACTGAGTATCGCTGTCTTTTTTTCCACTTGTCTTTAATACTTCAGTCTTAGCTGCACGATTCATTTGACACATTACATCTCAGAACAACTGAAGGAGGCCTGCATCTTTTTTTGTTGTGCAGTCTTATAGAAAAAGCTAGTAGGTTATCAAAGTTTTCAGGTTGTTAACAATCTGTATTTGGAAATCAAAAGGTTAGAGATTATTTTTTTGTTTGGGGGTGGTGTTAATATCTCAGTAAAAAATAGTGTAAACAAAATAGAAAATTTTCACCTATACCAATTAAATTTTATTTGCTTTCTTTAATGTCAGTTATTCAAACAGTGTTTTTCCTTCCCACAAAGCTTGGCCACTGTAGAATTTTTTTTGTTTTGTTTTGTTTTTGAACTATTGAGGGGAAAATGGAAGATAACATATCATAGCCCCAGTTCTCATGGTTTATTATCTTTGATGTTTTTAGGTGGTAGAGTGACTAATCCCAGATTAACGATTGGCTATTCTGGAAACGTTCATTTTCTACCAGACCCAGAATAATGGATATAAAAGACAGAAGACATCGCTCTTTGACAAGAGGTCGGTGTGGGAAGGAATGCCGCTATACAAGTTCTTCATTGGACAGTGAGGACTGCAGAGTACCAACTCAAAAGTCCTATAGCTCAAGTGAGACACTGAAGGCATATGATCACGACACCAGAATGCATTATGGAAATCGAGTTTCTGATCTGGTTCACAGAGAGTCAGATGAGTTTCCAAGACAAGGTATGTTTAAAGGACAACTATTTTCTGCCATAAATCTCCAGTAAGTAACCTCTGTAATTATGTATACGCTTCATATGCGAGTGGCAGTAGCAAGGGCGGTGAAGTAGAGGAAAAAGAATGACAAGTATTTTATTATTATTTTAAATCAGCAACATCATTTTGTTATCAGTTAGAAAATGTGTTCTCTTCTATTGTCATTTCAAGCTGAAAATACCTTGGCATAAAATACTGTCAGAAATCACGTAATTATATAAGTGAAGCAAGCATGAAACTCTGTTTTAACATCTTTTAAACACACAAGCACTAATGACTCTTAACCACCTGTCATATTTGCCATAGATCTAGGCACTGGCAAATATGATAACCTTGTATTCTGTATTTGTTTTAGGTATAATAGTGACATTTTCACTTTGCCTTTTCTTTCTTTAATAGATTAGCTGTATTGCTAAGAAGAGTAAAACATTATGATTAGCATACTGTAATTACTAATCAGGTGCTTTGGAATTTCTCCCCTGTTCCTCACTGGTGCGTAATTGAAATGTGGAAATGGGATGCAGTTTCTTTTGACATTGCTGGTGGATTACACTTAAGTTCATTTAAAAAAATAGCAGGGAGAAGCCCATATAATTATTCATAATTGGCTATAAAATGTTAGTACCTCACCAAGGTCCTAGAACTCATATTAAGTTTAAACCACAATTTACTTTGTATCAGTGTTAAAGCTGGTTGCCATGACTTACTCCAGGATGAAATATTACCTGCTTCAAATGTCTACCTGGATTCAATGACTTAAATAAAATATGCAAATCATTAGAGAAGTAGCTTTAAAAATACTTCTTGATTAAACTACAGTTCTTCACTGGGTGCACTCTTTAATTTTGTCCGCTTGTCAGTTGTCATAGTAAATGAAACACATTTTCCCAAATTTTGTAGGGGAAGAATACATGTAAACAGTGCCTCACGTGTACAGTCTTTGATCTTCTGGTTAACTCCACAAAATGCTTTGCTCCATTAAATTGTCAGTTATTCTGCAACTGTATGCTGCAGAGTTAAAAGCAAATCAGTTGTACATGAAGCATCAGATGTGCGTAACGACTGATTGGATCTCTGCATCTTTAGATCATTAATGCATATCCCCACTGCTTCCTTTCTCTACAGTAGGTGAACTTGATAGGAAAGTATCATACTAACTAGGACTTCAGAAATGTTTAGGATTATTTTAGGAAACCCACCAAACCCCCTATCAGCATATGATTGTTCTGCACTTTACATTTCTGTTGTTCTGCATCCCTTGGTATGGAAGTCTTCTATTTTCTATGAAGCTTAATAAGAAAGTTTTTTTTTTCCTTTTTACCCATCTATAATGATATTCTGTTTGTTAGAATAATTCTGCAAAGTATCCATATCAGTTTTGACCACTAGGTCACAATCTCCATTAATTAGCATCACTACTAATTTTTCTTGCTTGCCTCTCATGCACCATGAGCTTATTTACAGACATTTTAATATGGTAATATTATACTTATCCCACCTAAGTATGAATTTTCCGTTCTCTTCCCAGGTTTCTGAAAGAATTTGTGTTTACAGTGTGTACTCCCATAAGGATTACCCATCTGACTATAACCCACTTTACACCATAGAATACCTGGGCCATCCTCATCATGGATAGGCATCACAGTATTTAGGTTTCCTTATATTTACTATGGGCATTTTAGCCCTGGGGCTCCATTATAATTATACTATGTGACACTCATGATAGCCTATATGTTTTATTCTTTATTACTGGTTGTGTAGCTGTTTATCTGGTACTTTTGCTGAAAGGCTCTGTGGATGGTCTCTTTCTTCCTTTCCTCCTATTTTTATACTTGTGATAAAACTAGTAATGATATTTCATAGTCTCCACATAATTTGCCTAGAGTAATGAAGTAACTTTATCATGAGGCTTTTTTATTCTCTTATTAGATATGTTTGTAAAACAAGTCTTGTACTTTCAGAAAGTAAGTTTGGTTTTCTTTCTTTTTTAAATTAGATGTCTATATGTATATAAAAAACCATCTCTTGATCTATTCCACCCTTTATCTTTCTTAAGCACCTTCTTCCCTGGTTGACCTTAACTTTGAATGATTGGTAAGAGTAGACCTAGCACATGTATTTTCTGTTTTGCTATACGTGTGTATGTATTAGACATGGCATTTCCAGAAGCATTTGGAAGATGCCATGCTAAGTGTTTGCACATGCAGTTTCCAGCTGCAGACATCTAGGAATTTATGCATGCAAATTTATTCAAAGTTTGAGTAGGTGTTTTGCTGGGATTTGAAATCTGTAGGAAACAAACACGTGTTTATAATATGAATAGGCTTTGAAATAATTTTTATCCTTCAGCTACAATAAAAAGGGTTCAAATGATTTTTGCCTTTCAATAATTTTAGATATTCCCCAATATTTTGTGCTTGCCACCAGTAAAGCCTTGTATGGTGTGACTTGTTTGACATCTCTCTGTGTTTGATTAACAATGGTGCTGAGACTACACAAAGCAGTTGTATAACCTATGCTCTGATCATGATATATACTTTTGACAATAGCAGTAAAAATCTGTCAAGCACAAGATCTTGTTGTACCCCTTTCATTTTTGATTTACAAGGCTTGACACTTAAATGCTTGATCCAAAGTTATACTCAAGGGTAGGTTGCCTAAAATTAGACCTTCCAGCTTTAGTAAGGTATGTAGTATATGTATTAAACTGTCCTGCTCTGCTTGTTTGGTTCATTTTTGTAAATGAACAGGTCTTTGAAAGTTATCAATACTTTTCTGAGTTAGTTTGGGCAAGGTGCTTTATGGTAAAAGTCTATGTTGATGGACTACATGATTTTTCACCTCTGTTGACAAGCTAATTGGGAATGCCTGACAATCATTACCATCTGATAGCTAGTTTGGATTCTTAGGTGAAATAAGTTTTTATGATTTCATTCTAGGTCTGCCAGAAATATTCCTCTCCCTCACAGGTATCAATTGTTGCCATGCAAACTGGCACTCATGTTGTGAAGGATGAGCTTTCTTATGGTGTCAGAGGCAGAAAATCTTGATATACCTTACCTATCCTTATATTAAATGGAGAAACTCAGCCTTCAACACATTCAATAAGTACATTTTCTGAGTACTACACACCTTTAAAAATAGATATTTTAAGGTTTGGTAATCACCATTAGAAAGTAAACATTTGCCCTCAGATACCAAACTAAAGTACCAGGATACCACAGTTATCTCCTTCTGGAAATATAGGGAACCACTTCAGGTATATTTCTGATAACCACTGTGCTGTAAAAGGCAGTGACTAGAAGGTAAGTTTGTCAGAAGCATCACTGTCTCTTTGATACTGTCTTTGACCCAGTGTTCTTTCAGAATCCTCTTCAGCCATTCCTCCAGACTGCAACTAATAGTTATGTACAATGTACTTTAGTATGATTTAACTGAACTAGACTATGCAAATGAGTTACAAATTTTATATGGAACTAAAACAGTGAATTAGAATAATTGTGCTAGCTCCATTGTATAATCACTCTCAACGTGTGCTTGCAAACTCTTGAATGAAATTATGTAACAAATACACCTGTTTACTATTAATTTCCCTGACAGTCAATTATTTTAATATTATTTAACAGGCAAAGAAATGTGTATATAATGTAGCAGCAGCATGCAGCTGTCTTTATTGTCCAGTCAGTTCGAAAAATTCAGTCATTTATCAGGGAAAACATTTCTATTACATAGGTTGTCATAAAAGGTGAAGAGGCTTTCTAAATATTCAATTCTAAAACGAATAAAAAATTTCTTTTTTCCTTTTTCTACTTTCTGCTAAGATCTGTCAAAGGTTTGAGAATAGTTCTGACACCTTGAATACTGGAGTATCTTACAACCTGCTGGTAGGATGTGGATTTCTCTACCTGCCATGGATTTTGCCACCAAAGATTTTTAGTTATCAAACTTTTTATTTTTTTAAAGAAAGAAAGCATCTTTCTTCTGACTTACTTTGCTGACACAGCACAAGACAAGTACATCAGCGATGAAGACTTGGGAAAAAAATAAGATTTTTGGAAAACCATACTTCAAAAAATAGACATTAAGGAAAAAACTTCTATTCCTGTAGACATAGTAACCAAACTAGGTTGAAAGATCATTTATGGCTTTAGAACTCTACTAGCTTTGCAGAGAATCTGAGTCAGGTGGTTACAGTCTTTAACTTCTGTGTTCATAAGTCAGGAAGAAATAGGTGCAACCAGAAGATATTCTCCTGCACCATGTAGGTAGTAGTGTGTGGTCAGGCATCAGGAGATGCCCCCTGCTTCTAGAAATGTATGTCTACCATGTCAAAGATGTCGCTGTGGTTTGTATAGCCATAAAAAGGTTGTTTTAACCTACCTGCCTGGGACACTGTTAATAGCTGGAGGGCCACTTTAGGAATTTTGGTGAGCAGTTGCCATCCAGAGGGCAGGGAGGAGTGCTGACCCAGCCCAGTGAAGGAGGTGGGTGGTGGTGACCTGAGCCAGTGCAGTGGGGATGGGACAAATGATCCTATCTGCCAGGGGTGCTGGATGGAGCAGCTGTGCAGGATCTCCATGGAGACTGGCCTGGGACCCCGGTGGGCAGGGTGTGCTCAGCTGGGCAAATGGGATGCAGCTGTTGGCAGGTGCTGAGCAGTGTCCGGGAACAGGACAGGTTGGTGGGGCAAAGATTCTGGGCAATGACAGTGTGGAGTTGCGGACTGGGGCAGAGCTGCAGTCTGCTCCCTACACGTCCCTGTGACAGCAGCTTGTTCTTCAGGCAGGAACATGGGGGATTGGCTCTGCCCTGAACCCTGGCCCCATGCTATTACCACCCTACAATCCTGCACCCAAGCCCCGCCCACCTGTCCCACTCCTGGACACTGCTCCCTGCCTGCCCATGGCCCTATCCCATCCACTCTGCCTGCAAGGGTTCCAAGCTGGTCTCCATGGAGATCCTACCGG